AGTACTAAACTCATTTCCTTTGTTTGGCTTAGGTATTTCAAACTTTTTCGGTTTAGGTTTCTGTTTCAGGATTGAAAAATAAAAAAAGCTAAACTGGTCTTATATTTTCGGTTTAGGTTTCTGTTTCAGAGAGTTGTACAAGTAACAACAATACACATCTTGGTTTCTTGTATTTGAGTGTTGATAAAGGAAACAAGAAAGTATCTATCTTTTTGCAGACCTTGAGCTGTGAAATCAAAGGTAAAACATATTAAGAACTAATAGCCACAAGCTTCAAGCTGAAATCAGGTCTAATCAAGTCTAATAATATCAACAACACTTTAAAAAGTCGGAAAAAAACCTAAGTAAAACCTGATCTATATAGAGTATTGGTAGCAAGGAAGTAAGTTCATCTTATGTACATTCTCTCTGAGAATAAGGTTTCAGAAGTCAGAGTAAGTAAAGCTTGATTTTTGAGGTAGAAGCTAACATTTAGACCATTCTCCATTGGTCTAGCCAATTAAGCTCACTCTCTAGGAGTTGTTTAAACAGCTCAGTCAGTCCTCCCTCGAGACGAATATTAATCCTCCACAACACAAGCTTACTCTCCATTTTCATGCCTTTGATTGCATACAGTCTCCAAAGCATACCCTTAACAAATTTGTATTCGCTTGAACCAAACCATTCCACATCTTTCATCACAATGCTTTCCACATCTCTGAAAGCTCTCCTCACAAGTCCAACTTCCATTCCTCTTTCGACTAGCTCTCTCACTGAATCTATCATCTTATACGCAATCTCCTTAACCGATTCAGCCTGATTATCGGTATCTAGCAAGTGAATTACCCCGCAGAACGCACCCGTAAACGCCAAAACCCATTCACTGTTATCTACCAATACCTCACTTGGTGGGTTTAGCCTTGAGCTTATCTCAGGGAGAAGTTTCTCCATCACAGGAATCACAAAGTCTTCCTCGTCAAGCGGCATTGTTAAGCATTGGTAGATATAAACCGCTCTCTGAAACTTTGTTCTGCTATTCGATACAATGTAATCCCGTATCTCATCCATCTCATAGGCAACATGGAACACAACCTCACCAAGGACTTTGAAATTGCTCTCGGAGATTCCTCTTTTCGTAAGGCAAGAGACGATCAATTTCTGTAGTGTTCTCATCACAGTAACATCGATATCCGCTTTGTTCGGATTGTCATCAGACAGTAAGAGGTTTAGCCTTCTGATTGCCATATCCTTAGACCTCTCTTCAGCATACGCAAAGATTCTTCCGATTTCAAGCAACGACAATGTGTTCAACTGTTCGAAACAGAACCGATCGAAAAAGTCTTGATTCTCCGGTGGATTGTTGCTACTAGTAACCAACCGATGAATCTTCTTCGCGACCTCCATGATCTTTGTACCGAGTTCTTTGATCTTATACACGAAAGTCGACACGAAAACACACTGATCCTTATTATAACCATAGCAATCCCTGTCTCTGAACAAGAACCTCTCAAGATTCTCAAGCCCTTGTACCACAAACTCTTCCATTCCTTTCTTCTTCACTAACTCTTTCACTGACTTGACAAGAATCGACAAAAAAATCTTCACTAAACCCAATCTCCAATCTTCAACATCATTATCTGAATGATCCAAAATCTGTACACTCATTTTCACAAGAGTCTCTAAGCCCAAACTCCAATTCTCAACATCATCTTCATTCTTAGGATTAAGCAAAACTTTCTCTGCTTCCTCAACAATTCTCTGCATAAACCTATCAATGAATCTCAAATAAACTCGAGGCAATTCGACGAACACATGAAAGGCCTTTAAAGGTTCAGTTTCTGCTAAAGAGAGGATACAATCACCAAGCTCGTCCCAACCATCATTATCCAACGAAACAACGTTATAAGCTATAAAAGACACGATCTTTCGAAGGATCTTCATGTGGGTTTCTTCCATCTTCATCTTCAAGCATGGAATCAAAAGGGGTTTGATTTCGTTGAGTCCGTCGAGAGAGAGATGGGTTTCGCGGTTTCGGTATACGTCGAGGGTCGAAGAAAGGAGATGGATCGATTGGAATCTGACGATTTCGTTGGAGGAAGATTGGTAGATTTTGAGAAGCATTAGGGTTAAGCAATTTGGGAACTTTGAAACGCAGAAATCGTAAAGAGCAAGAGCCGATTGGAATTCGAGGGTTTCTTCAGGCGTAGCGAGTTGATTGAGGAGAAGCTCGAGTCTTTCGTGGCTTGGAGTCGCGAGAAGATCACTTGATTTCGAGAGGAGACTCGAAGTCGAAGATTCCGCCATTGTTGCAACTTTTCTTGTTTTCCCGAGTAAATTTTGACTCTTTCTGGGAAATTTGGGTTTAAGAGGTTTGTTTGTTGCGTTTTATCAAACGGTTATAAATTGTATATGAGGGAAATCGAGTCTTTGTGTTTCAAAGTATTTAACAAATAATCAACATTAATTTAATTTTTTTGATTAGGCATGTTTAATTAAGTGGGGTTATGTTTCTTTTCATAAATCTACATCAACTATTATTCCATGGAAGATATTACACATGTTAATACCAATTAAAATAAATACATTTTTTAAACAATAAGATGAAGTTTTTTCTAATCAAATTCTTCTTGTCAACACATAAAATATCAGACGAACAATTACGTATTATTATGTTAAAAATGTTTAATCATATTGAAAATAAACATTTTTTTTTGTTATCATGTGTGTCTGAGAGAGAAGAGGAGAATAATGTGTGTTAGACAGGGGGGTTAAATAGCCCTCGTTGCTCATATTTCAACAAATTTAGTATGAGCTTGATTGGACTTATTTTTTGGGTTTTTAGAGGATAAATAATTCATCTCGCGTGCAAATAGACAACAAATGGGCTTGATTGGACTTTTTAGTGAATCATACTTTGCTAATCAGTCACAAATTTCTCCTTGTGAGAGGATGTGTTATGTTGGTTTGGATATACTAATAAGGCAAATGATGTTGCAAATTATTCAGAATTTTTTTAAGGACATGAATTTGTTTACATCTCTCCGCAAACTGATTGAAAAGTCCAAAGCTCCGACTGAAATATATAATTCCGTGACATTTTAAATCGACTTTAATTCTTTTATCTCTCTGATCAAAGCATGAAACCAAGGGCAAAGAACACTACAAACGCAAAACATACAACATAAGAAAAAGAGATAAAAATATGGTTCAATTGCTTAAACATTTAAAATTGTAGAAGAGATCTACGTCAATGTTGCTAAGAGGTGAGATGATGTCGAAAACATAAAAACACTCATGATAATCCAATGTCTGAGACTGAAACTGCAACTAGGACTGAATAATAAGTCGTAATTAAAATAACAAATTTTAAGAAAACCAAAAATGCTAATTAAAATAGTTCATTTTAAAAACTAAATAACACTAAATATAACAACATAAAAAAATTAGTTTATAAGTTTTTTACAAAACATAATTTTGTTTCTTATAAAAAAAGTTAGTTTCTCATTAAATATAAAAATATGTATGGCTTTTTAATGCAAGTACTAGTTCTTACCAACACACTTTTCACCCTCTTTGTCTGAAACGAACTTTGTGTATCATTTTTGAAGAGTCTTTGAATCAAGATTCTTGAAAATGTCAAATTTTTGCAAGAAGCTTCATGTTGTCTTCTTTTATGCTCGCAAGGACTTTATCCTCGCACTCATGATCTTCTGCAACTTTTCCTTTTGTGATCAAACAAAAGGAAATAGATCAGTGTTGAACAAGACAAAGAAGAAAAAACATAGATAAACGATGTAATTTGAAGTATTGAATTGCATAATTACTCATGGACACAACTTTAATGTGAATTTTACTTTTCATTGATTGATTTAAAAACTAACTATAGGAAAATGTTTCCGAAAATGAACTACATTTTCCCAGAAATTGCATATTATGAACAGTATTCAATGATTGTGGATTTTACTTTTTATTGATTGATTCAAAAACTTATTATACAATCTTGGCGTTTCAATGGATTACTATAACAAAAAAAAAAGTTTTTTGAAAGTACATTTTCTCTGAAATTGCATAAGTTTATGAACACTAATTCAATGATTATTTAGCAATTATATGTGTTTTAATTGTCATAAAGTGACATAAATAATGAAACGAAACAACCCAAACAATTTACTAACAGACTTTTTCTAATAGCTTAATACACACTAACGAGCGATGCTTCCTTTCCACGTCACAAAAGAGAAACATTCTCGTCACTCGTCAATAATCCCTATATATATTCCATTTGCTCATCGATATCTTCTTCTAATTACAAACATTCTTAAACTACATACACAAATTCTATTACAGATTCTTCCCTCTATTTACTATTTTGTTCATTT